GCTCTGAATGTCTTCTAAGTCACAACAATAGAAGAAAACAGTCTGCTGAACATAAATACTACACAAACATTAGATGGTGCCATGGTTTAATTGCACATAACATGTAAACATTCACAGCGCAGGGAGGAAAAAGTATGTGAGACCCTAGCTTAATGACTTCTCCCAGAGCTAATTGGAGCCAGGAGTGAGCCAACCTTGACTCCAATCAGTGTGATGATATTGGATGTGTTGCTGACCTGCCCTTAAAAAACACACACCTGTTTTTGGGTTTACTGGTTTCAAGAAGCACTGTCTGATGTGAACCATGCCTCGCAGAAAAGAGAGCTCTCAGAAGACCTACGATCAAGAATTGTTGAATTGCATGAAGCTGGAAAGGGTTACAAAAGTATCTCCAAAAGCCTTGATGTTCATGTGTCCACGGTAAGACAGACTGTCTACAAATGGAGAAAGTTTAGCACTGTTGCTACTCTCCCTAGGCGTGGTCGTCCTGTAAAAATGACTGCAAGAGCACAGCGCAGAATGCTGCATAAGGTAAAGAAGAATCCCAGAGTGTCAGCTACAGAAATCTCTGGCACATGCTAACATTTTTGTTGACACATCTACAATAAGGAAAACATTAAACAAGAATGGAGTACATGGGAGGACACCACGGAGGAAGCCATTGCTGTCCAAAAAGAATATTGCAGCACGTTTGAAGTTTGCAAAAGAGCACCTGGATGTTCCACAGCACTACTGGCAAAATATACTGTGGACAGATGAAACCCAAGATTGAGTTGTTTGGGAAGAACACACAACACTATATGTGGAGAAAAAAAGACACAGCACACGAACATCAAAACCTCATCCCACTGTGAAACATGGCGGAGGGAGCATCATGGTTTGGGGCTGCTTTGCTGCCTCAGGGTCTGGACAGATTGTTGTCATTGATGGGAAAATGAATTCCAGAGTTTATCAAGACATTTTGCAGGAAAACGTACGAACATCTGTCCGCCAACTGAAGCTCCGCAGAGGATGGGTGATGCAACAGGACAATGACCCAAAGCATACAAGTAATTCAACAAAACAATGGCTGCAACAGCACAGAATACGCCTTCTGGAGTGGCCCAGTCACAGTCCTGACCTCAACCCGATTGAAATGCTGTGGCATGACCTTAAGAGAGCGATTCACACCAGACATCCCAAGAATATTGCTACACTGAAACTCCAGATCATTGTGCAGGTCTGATCTGCATCTACAGGAAAACGTTTGGTTGAGGTTATTGCTGCCAAAGGAGGGTCAACCAGTTATTAAGTCCAAAGGTTCACATACTTTTTCTTCCCTGCACTGTGAATGTTTACATGTTATGGTGCAATTAAACCATGGCAACATCTAATGTTTGTGTAGTATTATGTTCAGCAGACTGTTTTCTTCTATTGTTGTGACTTAGATGACGTTCAGAGCACATTTTATGCCCAGTTCATGCAAAACTCCACGTAATCCCAAGGGGTTCACATACTTTTTCTTGCAACTGTATATATATATATACGGTATCTCCCAGAAAGTAGTCCCCCCCTCCCCCAGACTGTATTCAAACTATACAACTATATATATATATATATTATATATATATACACACAGTATCTCCCAGAAGTGAGTCCCCCCCCTCCCCCGGACTGTATACAATGTGTGTGTTATATGTATATATATATATATATATATATATACACACACAGTGTTTCCAGAAGTGAGTCCCACCCCTCCCCCAGACTGTATTCAATATATATATATACACACACAATATCTCACAGAAGTGAGTCCGCCCCTCACTTTTTGTAAATATTTGATTCTTCTTTTTTTCATGTGACAACACTGAAGAAATTTCCCAAAGACAACCTCTGGATATGACGCTGAGCACGTGCACTCCACTTCTTTGGTCCACCATGGCGAGGTCTGTTCTGATTGGAACCTGTCCTGTTACACCGCTGTATGGTCTTGGCCACCGTGCTGCAGCTCAGTTTCAGGGTCTTGGCAATCTTCTTATAGCCTAGGCCATCTTTATGTAGAGCAGCAATTCTTTTTTTTCAGATCCTCAGAGAGTTCTTGGCCATGAGGTGCCATGCTGAACTTCCAGTGACCAGTATGAGAGAGTGAGAGCGATAACACCAAATGTAACCCACCCGCTCCCCATTCACACCTGAGACCTTGTAACACCAATGAGTCACATGACACCGGGGAGGGAAAATGGCTAATTGGGCCCAATTTGGACCCGGAGTTCAGCTTTTGTAGACGCGGATTCAGCCATTTCTCACTTGTAAACATTCTAAAAGCAACCCAAGACTGTGGAATTAAAGAAGAACTCCGGGACTCCCACTGCACTTTTAGAGTCATCCCTTACTGTGTGAAAAACTCTTGCTGTTTGAGGGGTGAGTATGTTTCTAACAGTCCCTGAGATCCAGAAAAAAAATTAAGTATATCTAACGTCAAATATGTACTTTTTTTTGGACAGAGTAGGAAATGGTTTAAATTCCTGCAGGTTTTTTTTTTCCATCTGTGTTCTGTTGGGGATTTCCCTTTTTTGTCCTGTCCTGTAGACACAAGAGGAAAATTCTCTAAAATCAGGGAAATCCCCTCTCATACTCTCATCACTGGTAACAACAGCCATAGCAGGTCATATGGCGTCTATGGGGCCAAGGGGTGGAAAGGGGACCCCATTCCCTTGATGTAAATTAAAAGTGGTTGTAAAGGCTCAAGGGTTTATACCCTAATGCATGGGTGTCAAACTGGCGGACCTCCAGCTGTTGCCAAACTACAAGTCCCATGAGGCATTGCAAGATGGACAGTTAGGGTGGGTTAGGGTGATGGATTAGGTGGGTTACGGTGATGGATTAGGGTGAGTTATGCTAATGGTGAGGGTGGGTTAGGGTGATGGATAGGGTGGGTTGAGGTGATGGATTAGGTGGGTTACGGGTGATGGATTAGGGTGGGTTGGGTGATGGATTAGGGTGAGTTTATGCTAATGGTTTAGGGTGGGTTAGGGTGATGGATTAGGGTGGGTTGAGGTGATGGATTAGGTGGGTTACGGTGATGGATTAGGCGGGTTGGGGTGATGGATTAGGGTGAGTTATGGTAATAGATTAGGGTGGGTTGGGGTGATGGATTAGGTGGGTTTTGGTGATGGATTTGGTGGGTTTTGGTGATGGATTAGGTGGGTTTTGGTGATGGATTAGGTGGGTTACGGTGATGGATTAGGGTGGGTTGGGGTGATGGATTAGGGTGAGTTAGGGTGATGGATTAGGGTGGGTTACGGTGATGGATTAGGTGGGTTAGGTGATGGATTAGGGTGAGTTATGCTAATGGTTTAGGGTGGGTTAGGGTGATGGATTAGGTGGGTTGGGGTGATGGATTAGGGTGAGTTAGGGTGATGGATTAGGGTGGGTTGGGGTGATAGATTAGGTGGGTTACGGTGATGGATTAGGTGGGTTAAGGTGATGGATTAGGGTGAGTTATGCTAATGGTTTAGGGTGGGTTAGGGTGATGGATTAGGTGGGTTGGGGTGATGGATTAGGGTGAGTTAGGGTGATGGATTAGGGTGGGTTGGGGTGATGGATTAGGGTGGGTTGGGGTGATGGATTAGGTGGGTTACGGTGATGGATTAGGTGGGTTGGGGTGATGGATTAGGGTGAGTTATGGTAATAGATTAGGGTGGGTTGGGGTGATGGATTAGGGTGGGTTGGGGTGATGGATTAGGTGGGTTACGGTGATGGATTAGGTGGGTTGGGGTGATGGATTAGGGTGGGTTGGGGTGGTGGATTAGGGTGGGTTAGGGTGATGGATTAGGTGGGTTGGGGTGATGGATTAGGGCGAGTTAGGGTAATGGATTAGGGTGAGTTAGGGTGATGGATTAGGGTGGGTGGGTGATGGATTATGGTGGGTTACGGTGATGGATTAGGGTGGGTTGGGGGTGATGGATTAGGGTGAGTTAGGGTGATGGATTAGGGGGTGAGTTAGGGTAATGGATTAGGGTGGGTGGGGTGATGGATTAGGGTGGGTTACGGTGATGGATTAGGGTGGGTTGGGGTGATGGATTAGGGTGAGTATATGGTGATGGATGAGGTGGGTTGGGGTGATGGATTAGGGTGAGTTATGGTGATGGATTAGGGTGGGTTGGGGTGATGGATTAGGGTGGGTTACGGTGATGGATTACGGTGGGCATGATGGGACTTGTAGTTTCGCAACAGCTGGAGGATCGCCAGTTTGACACCCCCTGGCCTAATGCATTCTATGCACTAAGGTAAGTGAAAACCTTCTGTCTCACAAACTCGCCCTTCCTCGAGCCCCATCATGATCCAGCCATTCGCACAAGAGCTGCGGCTCTCCTGGCTCCTGGGCAAATCTGCCACAGAGACGTTTGACACCATTCGGCAACTTTACTGCGATGCTGCAATGAACCGTTTGAGGCGATTTGCCTGGTCTCATGCGGAATTTTGCATCATCCTGTGTACATTGGGAGCTGTGCAACTGGTGCTAGTCTGACCACGTGCATTGCCACATCTGCTATTTTAACATGGACAGCAAGTTAGAACAAAGAAAGAACGTGAAATTCGCGTGAAACAGGGCAAACCTTGTACAGAGATGTTTGGTACGATTCTGCAAGTTTATGCGATGCTGCAATGAGTCGTTCGAGGTGTTTTGAGCGGCACGTGCGTTTCAAGAGCGGGAAGAACATCACTGGAAGACGATGAGAGATCAGGAAAACCTTCACCGAGATCAACCCCCGAAGATGGAGATCCAACTCAAAGAACGCCGTTTTGACAACATTGTGGAAATCCAGCAATTTGCCCAGTTTCACACAAAATTTCGCATCGTCCTGTGCTGTGCAACTAGTGCTATTCTGACCACATGCGTTACCATGTCTGCCATTTCATCATGGACAGCAAATTAGAACAAAGAGCAAACGTGAAATTCCTTCATTGGTGAGCAGTGGGAAGAATGTCCCTTACATTGGTGATCAGTGGGAAGAATGTCCCTTACATTGGAGGTCAGTGGGAAGAATGTCCCTTACATTGGAGGTCAGTGGGAAGAATGTCCCTTACATTGGGGGTCAGTGGGAAGAATGTCCCTTACATTGGTGATCAGTGGGAAGAATGCTCCTTACATTGGTGGTCAGTGGGAAGAATGTCCCTTACATTGGTGGTCAGTGGGAAGAATGTCCCTTACATTGGGGGTCAGTGGGAAGAATGCCCCTTACATTGGTGGTCAGTGGGAAGAATGTCCCTTACATTGGTGGTCAGTGTGTGGGAAGAATGTCCCTTACATTGGGGGTCAGTGGGAAGAATGTCCCTTACATTGGTGATCAGTGGGAAGAATGTCCCTTACATTGGGGGTCAGTGGGAAGAATGTCCCTTAAATTGGTGATCAGTGGGAAGAATGTCCCTTACATTGGAGGTCAGTGGGAAGAATGTCCCTTACACTGGTGGTCAGTGGGAAGAATGTCCCTTACACTGGTGGTCAGTGGGAAGAATGCTCCTTACATTGGTGATCAGAGGGAAGAATGTCCCTCACATTGGAGGTCAGTGGGAAGAATGTCCCTCACATTGGTGGTCAGTGGGAAGAAGAATGTCCCCTTACATTGGTGATCAGTGGGAAGAATGTCCCTTACATTGGTGGTCAGTGGGAAGAATGCTCCTTACATTGGGGGTCAGTGGGAAGAATGTCCCTTACATTGGTGATCAGTGGGAAGAACGTCCCTTACATTGGGGGTCAGTGGGAAGAATGTCCCTTACATTGGTGGTCAGTGGGAAGAATGCTCCTTACATTGGGGGTCAGTGGGAAGAATGTCCCTTACATTGGTGATCAGTGGGAAGAACGTCCCTTACATTGGCGGTCAGTGGGAAGAATGTCCCTTACATTGGGGGTCAGTGGGAAGAACGTCCCTTACATTGGTGATCAGTAGGAAGAACGTCCCTTACATTGGTGATCAGTAGGAAGAACGTCCCTTACATTGGCGGTCAGTGGGAAGAACGCCCCTTACATTGGTGGTCAGTGGGAAGAATGTCCCTTACATTGGTGGTCAGTGGGAAGAATGTCCCTTACATTGGTGGTCAGTGGGAAGAATGTCCCTTACATTGGGGTCAGTGGGAAGAATGCTCCTTACATTGGTGGTCAGTGGGAAGAATGTCCCTTACATTGGAGGTCAGTGGGAAGAATGTCCCTTACATTGGTGGTCAGTGGGAAGAATGTCCTTTACATTGGTGCCTCCCTTACAGATACAGTAGCTAAAAAGATGATTGGCTATTTATCTGAACATCGCAAATTGTTCACGGCTGGTGGAACCCCTCGGAGGAACCCTGATTGAGAAACACTGATATAAACCTGTATGTAATCATTAGTACTGAGCAAGTCCTATTAAAAGAAAAATCATGCATAAGGCGATTGCAGTAAGATTAGTGCACACAGGGGGAACGCACTGCACTGTGGTTTGTGCATTGGTTGTGGTGCCAATCGTTTTGCATGCTACCCCGATGTACCACAACAGCCATGTGTGTTTGAGTGTACCACGTCACCAATGTGGACCATCAATGTGGACCATCAATGTGGACCATCAATGTGGACCAATAATGTGGACCATCAATGTGAACCAATAATGTGGACCAATAATGTGGACCAATAATGTGGACCATCAATGTGGACCATCAATGTAGACCAATAATGTGAACCAATAATGTGGACCATCAATGTGGACCATCAATGTAGACCATCAATGTAGACCATCAATGTAGACCATCAATGTAGACCATCAATGTAGACCATCAATGTAGACCATCAATGTAGACCATCAATGTAGACCATCAATGTGAACCAATAATGTAGACCATCAATGTGAACCAATAATGTAGACCATCAATGTGAACCAATAATGTGGACCATCAATGTGAACCAATAATGTGGACCATCAATGTGGACCATCGATGTGGACCATCGATGTGGACCATCAATGTGGACCATCAATGTGGACCATCAATGTGGACCATCAATGTGGACCATCAATGTGGACCATCAATGTGGACCATCAATGTGGACCATCAATGTGGACCATCAATGTGGACCATCAATGTGGACCATCAATGTGGATCATCAATGTGAACCAATAATGTAGACCATCAATGTGAACCAATAATGTAGACCATCAAATGTGGACCATCAATGTGAACCATCAATGTGAACCATCAATGTGGACCATCAATGTGGACCATCAATGTGGACCATCAATGTGGACCATCAATGTGGACCATCAATGTGGACCATCAATGTGGACCATCAATGTGAACCATCAATGTGGACCATCAATGTGGACCATCAATGCGTTGTTGAGCACAAGGGGAAAAAAGTGCGTTTCTGTTAAAAACACCCATTGGGTCCATTGAGCACTTATTTAAAAAAAAAAATGGCTGCCATAGTAGACTGCGCGTTATCATGCGACATAACAGCGCAATGGCCCCAGTCCAGCCTAGACATCGTCTGCTGACTCCCGATTATCAAGCTGAGAATCGGTCTTAAGCTGGCCATACGCCGGTAGAGTTCCGTTTGGAAAAATAAATGTGAATTTTTTTTGTGAAGTTCGATTGGTCAGTGAGGTCACATCCACATTCAATTTCAATCATAGCAAATACGAAGGAGTCGGATGGAATTTCCTTTTTTTCCCCCCAAACTGAAATCCTAACTATGACTGCGGTTTCCATCGTTGTAATGAAACCTTTTTAGAAAAATCCCTCTGGAATTCCATTCGAAGAACAGGGTCTGGACGGAATTTTACGGGCTTTAAAGCGAAACGGGTCGACTTGATGATGGCAAGAAAGAATGTTCTGATGAAGTCTTTTTTACAAACGTCAAACCGTGATTGGCCAGACACATTAGGGCTCCGTTCACACCTATGCAGTTTGCTCTTTGTATGTTTTGCAGTTCATTTAGCGTTTTTCTACACGCGTTTTTAACGCATTATTACCACGTTTTGTTTTTTGTATTTTTGTTTTTTTTCTAAGGTGGAATTTTTTTTTTTTGCTGAGCAGAATAAAAAAGCAGAACGCGGCAAAAACGCACTACCAGCCTCTCAGCAGATTCTCCATTGAACTCTTTTGTAGCTAATAAATTGCTTTTTGCTTTTAACCAGATCCCAACCAAAGGACGGCTACAGCGCGGTTGTATGGTTCTGGGACAAAATCCATGGATGTCATTTCAGAACACGCCCCCAGCGGCGTGCGCACGGCGCCGCCTATGGACACAGCTGATCACGTCATGCGGTAAACGGCCAATCACGGCGGCCTTTTACCAAGTGATCAGCCGTGTCCAATGACACAGATCGCCGGGTAAATACAGTTGCGGTTGTTGGCCGCACTTTCCTCACCTTGTCATAGCATGAGGGAAGTACTGCCGAGAACCGGCAATTGTCAGCGAAGGGATCGGCAATTTTTTTAACGCATTATTACCACGATGATCAGTGCCTAGAAGTGCTGCCCTCCTGTGCAACCCCACCTGTACCCATCAGTGCAACCCATCAGTGCCATCCACCTGTGCCCATCAGTGCAACCCATCAGTGCCATCCACCTGTACCCATCAGTGCAATCCATCAGTGCCATCCACCTGTACCCATCAGTGCAAACCCACCTGTGCCCATCAGTGCAACCCACCTGTGCCCATCAGTGCAACCCACTGTGCCAACCACCTGTACCCATCAGTGCCACCCACTTGTGCCCATCAGTGCCGCCCACCTGTACCCATCAATGCCACCCACCTGTGCCCATCAGTGCCACCCACCTGTGCCCATCAGTGCAACCCACCTGTGCCCATCAGTGCAACCCATCTGTGCCACCCACCTGTGTCCATCAGTGCAACCCATCAGTGCCACCCACCGTGTCCATCAGTGCCACCCCCCTGTACCCATCAGTGCCACCCACCTGTGCCACCCACCTGTGCCCATCAGTGCCACCCACCTGTGCCCATCAGTGCCACCCACCTGTGGCCCATCAGTGCCACCCATCAGTGCCACCCACCTGTGTCCATCAGTGCAACCCATCAGTGCCACCCACCGTGTCCATCAGTGCCACCCCCCTGTACCCATCAGTGCCACCCACCTGTGCCCACCCACCTGTACCCAACAGTTCCACCCACCTGTGCCCAACAGTGCAACCCATCAGTGCCACCCATCTGTGCCCAACAGTGCAACCCATCAGTGCCACCCACCTGTGTCCATCAGTGCCACCCATCAGTGCAACATCTTCAGTGCCAGCTCATCAGTGCTGCCTATCAATGCCACCTATCTGTGCCACCTCATCAGTGCCCATCAGTGCTGCCTATCAGTGCCACCTATCAGTGCAGCCTCATCAACGCACATCAGTGAAGGAGAACATTTACCTGTTTGTAAAATTTTAGAATTGAAACAAAGAAAAACTTTTTTTTTTTCAAATGTTTTGCTCTTTTTTTGTTTATAGCACAAAAAATAAAACGCCCAGCAACAATTTTATACCACCAAAAGTAACCTCTATTTGTGTGGAAAAAATGCTAAAAAATTCATATGAATAATGTTGCATGACTGCGCAATTGTCATTCAAAGTGCGAAAGCGCTGAAAGCTGGAAATTGGCCTGGGCAGGAAGGGGTAGAAGTGCCCTGTAGGCAGGAAGGGGTAGAAGCGCCCGGTGGGCAGGAAGGGGGTAGAAGCGCCCTGTAGGCAGGAAGGGGGTAGAAGCGCCCGGTAGGCAGGAAGGGGTAGAAGCGCCCGGTGGGCAGGAAGGGGGTAGAAGCGCCCGGTAGGCAGGAAGGGGGTAGAAGCGCCCGGTAGGCAGGAAGGGGGTAGAAGCGCCCGGTAGGCAGGAAGGGGGTAGAAGCGCCCGGTAGGCAGGAAGGGGGTAGAAGCGCCCTGTAGGCAGGAAGGGGGTAGAAGCGCCCTGTAGGCAGGAAGGGGGTAGAAGCGCCCTGTAGGCAGGAAGGGGGTAGAAGTGCCCGGTAGGCAGGAAGGGGGTAGAAGAGCCCTGTAGGCAGGAAGGGGGTAGAAGTGCCCTGTAGGCAGGAAGGGGGTAGAAGTGCCCGGTAGGCAGGAAGGGGGTAGAAGTGCCCTGTAGGCAGGAAGGGGGTAGAAGTGCCCTGTAGGCAGGAAGGGGGTAGAAGTGCCCTGTAGGCAGGAAGGGGGTAGAAGCGCCCTGTAGGCAGGAAGGGGGTAGAAGTGCCCTGTAGGCAGGAAGGGGGTAGAAGAGCCCTGTAGGCAGGAAGGGGGTAGAAGTGTCCGGTAGGCAGGAAGGGGGTAGAAGTGCCCTGTAGGCAGGAAGGGGGTAGAAGTGCCCTGTAGGCAGGAAGGGGGTAGAAGTGCCCTGTAGGCAGGAAGGGGGTAGAAGTGCCCTGTAGGCGATGGGTTAGGAAAATCCCTGACCCTTTCCAAAAAAACACAGCGGCTCAAAATACAACAAAACATGGATGTGAGCGTGTCCCAGTCCCGTGTTAAATGGACTGCAGTGCGTTTCTGCAAAAAGCACTAAAAAAACACATAGATGTGAACGGAGCCCAGAGCTAAAACACACGGGGAAAATACAAATCGTTCATAATTTAAGCTGTAATAAATCCAAAAACAAAAATATAATATATTGCAGCTTGTCAATCATTAGATGTGGTGGCTGCATTAGTTTTCTTTTTTTTAGGCTTTTTCCCCCCCTCTGTTTTCACCTGATGATCTGGCCGGCAGGGCTGGGGATAACGGGGGGGGGGGGGGTCAGAGGCGGACTGACAACTCATGGGGCCCCCGGGCAATAGGGGATCATGGGGCCCCTGTGTCCTTGCCCAAACTTAAAAAAGCCTATGAAAAAAGTACCAAGGACATCTCTTGGGGCCCCTTACTGACCCCGGGCCCTCAGGCAGTGCCCGAGTTTCCAAATGGTCAGTCAGCCCCTGGGGGGGGTACCACCAGTTCTCTTGTATGGAGCCCAGGCCAGCAGGGGGGCCCAGGTAGCTGAGTGAATTGGATGGAAAGGGAGGGTAATCAGCTCTGCGGGGGCGGGGCAATTACCAGAGCCAATCCCCTGTATGGCTCCCTCTGCAGCAACTGAAAGACGGCTTTTTTTCCTCTCCCTCCTGCTGGCTTTCAGCTGCTGCAGAGAGACATACAGGGGATCGGTTCCCGTAATTGCCCCCCCCCCCCCCCAT